GATCGCACATTCGTCGCCGATAGGGGCCCGATGGCCCACCCCGCCCGGGACCGTGTGGAATCGCTGTCGGGGGCATATCTCCAATCCGTCCCCGCCCCCGCCCTGAGCTCGTCACCCCCCAGATGTTGCCCCCCAGGTTCGCCGGAGGGCCCCAAGACCCGCTCGCAGCTCTGGCCCGGCACGAGAGGCCCAGCAGAGAGACCAGGCCCTGAGCCGCGGACCCCAGCGTCCTGGCTGCTTCTTTCGGACGACGATGTTTGTCGGGGGATGGTCGTAGTCGTCGTCGTCGTCCTCCTCCTCCTCCTCCTCCTCCTCCCTCCTCCTCCTCCTCCTCCTCCTCCCCTCCTCCTCCCCCTCCTCCTCCATCTCCTCCTCCTCCTCCTCCTCCTCCTTCTCCTCCTCCCCTTGCGTTTTCCGTCATTTGCGGGCCGCCTCCTGGAGGCTTCCTTGGCCGCCACGGCGGGATCCGTCTCGGAGAGCGGGTCGGCATGGAGGCCCCGGCAGGGGTCCGGGGCGGAGGCCGATCTGGAGAGGGCTCGGGCTCGGGCGGGAGAGCCGCCGCGGGCTCGGCTGGGGCAGGCTCCGCTGCATGGTGTTCTGGGCCCGTGTCCTCTTCTGCCCGCGCGGTGTGTCAGCCTCCCGCGGGGGGCCGAGGTGGTGAAGCCTCCTACACCCGGGGGCGGCAGCATCTTGCTGGAGCGGCTGCCAGCTGGCGCCCGGGAAGGCTGATAGCTGATAGAACCACCCCCCGCCCTGCCGAGTCGATGGGCGAGACGCTTTCTCGTTCCGACCATCGAGATGTTGTTGCACAGGGCTGGACCTGAACGCTGTTTTGCTGGATTTCGGCTGCGTGTTGTTCTTCGTTCTGGGAGGGAGGAAGAAGAGAGCAGATAGAGCAAAACGAATAACACAACGACAACAGAACGAAACACAACGTTTGGGTCCAGCCCTGGTGTTGCAGCCGTCAGTGTGGCGTGCCTGCGCCCACCATGTCGTGTCCCGGGTCGCTCTCGCACCAGAGCGCTCGTGTTGCCAAATGCTAAAAGCCGTTTCTGCCCACCGCGAGGCGCATTCGAACCGTACATGTGCGCGCCAGTGTCAAGCCGGGCCTGTCCCTCTATGGGAGGAAGATTCAAACATAGTCCAGGAATATTGTGGTGACGAATTCAATGACAGGGATTCAAACATATTCCAGGAACATTCAAACATATTTCAGGAAATTCAAACATGTTCCAGGAATCCGACTATTTGATGACAGTGCTTGGATGTTTTGAAGCCTACTGTTCATATTCCGTCGAAAACCCGTCTGTAGGAGGACATGCCCGACCTAACCGTACATGTGCGCGCCAGTGTGAGGTTGGTTCTTGTCTTTCGCGACTCGTCCGTTGGGCTCGGGAAGCCAGGGGGCGATATCAACGTCTGGCGGCACAGGTATGCACGCGTCTCGCGCCTGCAGCGTGCTCAACACTCCGTCTGCTAAAGTAGCGCTAATCATCAGAACCGCGCGTGGTCCTGACCCTGTCCACGCAGATGAACGCGCACAGGAAGCCCTGCATACGTCTGGATAAGTTTGCATAAGTCATTGTACATGGCTGCCGAGGGATTTGTTGACTGCTTGCCCCAGGGGAGTATCCCAGCAGAGGCTGTCCTTCACAGCCTTGCCATCCTCTGTACCG